ACCCCACCTACAGCTGAGCATTTTGGCCAAGCTGCTGCAATGCAAGGAATTGGGGCAATTGGTGGAACCCCTCCTGCATTTAATCGTGCAGCTCCTGGAGTTGAATTTGCTCCAAACAAGCGTCATCGATACTAATAAATTTGTGGTCTACTTCCCCCAGTCCTGTAGAAAAGAAGGACCCTTTTTGGACTAGCCAAAATTCTACTCTGGAAGTGTTAGGGATTCCTCCCTGTAGTTAGGTCTTTCCTGCCTGTTCTACGCTAGGGAGTATGCTGCAGGCAGAGGGCAAGGGAGGGGTAGTATTTAACAATTCAGTTCTGTGTGGTATATTATTTAACAAGTCAGCCCAATGCCATGTGGTGCATTCCTGAAGTCACAACATAATGGATGCTAAGGGCCTAGAGGAAATCTTGGCAAAAAAAAAAGGATCCAGTTAGCACCCTATTGATCTTGATCATTCCATTTTTAGGTTTTGTTTTTTTTCTTTTTCATCCTTCCATCTCCCAACCCAAATATACCACACACAAAAAACTACCCCCAATGACCTTAGCTCCATTGCTCAATTCACTCCTAGGTCAGAATTCAAGCAAATGTCTACAGAGGTTACTGACAACATACATACATACAGTTTTGTTGTATTCTATATATTACCCCATCATGTCCTACTGGAGACATTTTCTCTTATAGATTTTCATTTTAGTATATCTTTAAAAAAAAACTAAACTTGCCTCCATCTTTTTCTTGGATGAGGACAAACCAGAAATGGCCCTTTTGTGTCTTAAGATGTTGCTATTCACAGCTTTTTTGGATAGACCTAGTACAGTTTTGGGAATAGGCTTGCTGTGTCTTGAAGGTCTGACGGTAGCTCTTACCCTTGCCTGTCTTAGGTAGTTATGCTGTGCATTTTTTATTGTTATATCATGTTTGATTTGTCCCTGGGACATTTAATTTTGAGTTCCCTGAGAAATGGAGCAGAAATGGAGCATCACCTTATTAAAACGCATTTTAAGCCTTTTAAAAGGGGGGGCACTTTCAAAGGGGAGGGGATTCGCAGCTCAACAGAAGCCTGATTTCTAATTAGTTACTAAGTTCATCCTTGGGTCTTGAACATTTTTCTAATTTATCTCAGGCTACAATTAAAAAATTACTTTTATTGGGGGGCTGGGGGCTCTTACATCTCTTATCACAATCCATACATTCCTCCAGTGTCAAGCACATTTGCACATATGCCACCATCATCATTTTCAACCATTCTCTTCCCACTTGAGCCCCTGATATCCACTCCCCATTTCTTCCCTCTCCCTCCCCTGCCTACACTCCCTCACGAACCCTTGATAAGTCACAGATTATTTTTTCTATATCTTACATCATCCTTTGTCATCCCTCATCCACTTTTCCATTATTCGTCCCACTGGGAGAGGGTTTTAGGTTGATCCAGGATACAATTTTGTGTCAGGATGTCTCGAGTCTTGTATCTCAGGCTACCAATATAGTGTGGAGGGGTCAATTTTTCCCAGGTTCTAACTCTCGATAAGATGTCTTGGGATGTCCACTCAGCCTGATCTCAGTGTTGAAACATTTACCAAGCTGCTTATCTCTGGACCCGTTATTTATTTTCCTAACAAGCAAAGTGTTTATTCCCTTAGCAGGTAGAGGTACCTATCCTGTCCCTGTCATTCTCCCCCAGTGGAGAGCAAGACTTTTCTTTTAGGGAAAAAGGGGAAGACCAAATCTGGTTACTTCTAGATTGGTCAGTTCCTGATTCTATTTTTTAACTCTCTGCCTGCCAGGGAAAATGAGTCATCAAACAGTGGTCTTGTCCCTTTTTGTGGAAGCTTAAAAAGGACATTGCCCTCTATTAACTTTTAACTATGCTGTGTTTTCAGTCCACCACTGCAGGAGACAAAACTGGGCAGATAATTAAGATGGGGAATCTCCTATACTGGGGGAAGTTCCCCTGGGGGGGGGGGGGAATTGCATGCTATTTTGTCTAGAGGTTCAACAGGGATGGAATGACTTTTGGCACCAGAGGGCACTCTCGAATTGGTTCACACAAGAGTCTGTTTGCAGCAGGCTGATCAACAAAAGACTTGGCTGAAATCCATTCATAGTCATCTTCTCTATGTAGAACTGTTGAAGCCTAGAAGACACAAGCTTTACTATGATGATCAATAGGCATGGGCCAAAAATTAGTAGGATGATCAAAATCAAGCGTTCTTAAGGGATAAGAGCTTAAAGATCAGAAAATGAAACTGTAATGTTCAGATTTATGCCGCACAGTTGAAGAGCAGAGACAGATCAATAACAAACACGTTTACTTTGAGACAGTGGCAGGTGAAGACTCTAATAAATCACTTTAATAGCGCATCTCAAGATACTAAATCTAGAGTTGAAAAGGGGGAAAATTACATGGAGCTGAAGGTCTCAGTGCTTCTGCTGATCACACTGTTTAGGGTCTAGATCAGCGGTTCTCAACCTGTGGGTTGCAACCCCTCTGGGGGTCTAACCTTTCATAGGGACGCCTAAGACCATCGGAAAACACATTATTTCCGATGGTCTTAGGAACCGAGACATTGGTTCTCTATCCATCTCCAGGCGGGTCTGTCCACATTCAGAAATGCCCACATACGAGCACCTGGTGTGATGACATCATCACACCCACCCCATCCCATATACCCCGTACAAATACAGGTGTATCGTGGGGCTAAAGGGGAGAGGGGACCCCACAAATCATCACAGGTCCGGTAGGCACAATTGCACAGCGATAACAAGTAAAGATTATAGTGAAGTCATAGAGAGCATGAGAGTTAAAAGACAGAGTCAAGCAATGGAGTCAGACACAATTCATGGTAGCATTGCTCACCCCATCCCTGCTTGGTGGTCCACGTGGAGGGAGAGAAAGTAACTTTAATGCTTCCCAAGCTTTTATCCTCTCTGGGGACGTGCAAGCCCCCTAATTATAGGCGAAGACATACATCACAGGAAAGGGTTGTACAATAGGCATACATTGTAGGAAGGGGATCTATGATAGGCATAAGTGTAACAGGAAGGGGATGAGCTAGAGGTGTGCCCATAGGAATGGGAAGGTCTAGGGCTATACATGTGACAAGATGGGCGGACCCTAGGTTCATAATGGCTACCTAACCTTGGTTATCCTTGGGCGGGTTTGACCTCTCTGGTGTCTCCTACAAGGAAACAGACAACTACTATCCTTATCAGAAGGGAGTGGGCCCTACCTGTTGTGGGATAAACAGTGGTGTTTACTTGTTCCAGATGTCTGATAGCTCTTAAGGAGAATGACCCTTAATCTACTTCTAATGACCTCCAAAGTGTACAGTCATTCTCAAGCAGCTAAATCTGGCTAAAGCAGCTAAATATGGGGGAGCCAGCTTGAGAGAAATCCTTCTGTTTCCCACCGTGTATGTGACAGGGTTGGCACCATAATGTACTTATGTGGACCAGCACACGTGTAGAGAGCAGCTACTGTGCAGAAAGCAGCAGTACTGGAGGTAAAATGATATGGCATTAATTACAATTACTGGGTAAATATAAAATCATACTGTAAAATCAACTACTGCAAAAAAAATATCTGTACAATGGGAACTTAATCTGGATGCTGATTGGTCTTTTTCTATTCAGCTGTGGTTATGTTCAATTTGTAACAATGAAAATACATTCTGCATATCAGACATTTATATTATTATTCATAACAGTAGCAAAATTACAGTTATGAAGTAGCAACAAAAATAATTTTATGGTTGGGGGTCACCACAATATGAGGAACACTATTAAAAGGTCACAGCATTAGGAAGGTTGAGAACCACTAGTCTAGATGGATTGGCTTCACTCTTTCTGAGAGAACATCTTCAAGGTTTTCTTATGAGTCAACTGAAACTATGTGATTAATTCATGTTCCTCTATTCCCTAATAATATTAAAACAAGTTATGGCAGTTAGTGAGGATTGTTATAGACCTTCATATTTCTTATACTGTAATCTATCCTTTTTCTTTCTTTTTAATGAACACATTCACTCTTCTATTTAACTTTCTTTCAACAACTAACTGTATACCTTCAAGTTTCTTTATTCACTTTCAGGTTTGAACTGCTGACCAGTTAGCAGTCCAATGCATAGCCAACAAAAATTGCATGCTGGATAAAAATACTCACTGCCATGGAGTAGATGCCGACTCATAGCCATTCTATAAGACTGGGTAGAAATGCCCTGCTGAGTTTCCAAGACTGTAACTCTTTATTCAAGTACAATGTCCTGTCTTTCTCCCACAGAGCGGCTGGTGATTTCGAACTGCTAACCTTAAGGATCACGCTGACTGCGTATAACCTGCGTCACTAAGAGTAAAAAATACACATATTTAAAATAATGAGGAAGCAATCCCCCAGTACACAGTCCACTATCACGGAGCATTACCCATCTTTATGCTTTCTGCAAATTTGCTAAATAAAAATCAAAATAATGGTGATCTTAAATTAGCAATTTAACAATTTCCAGCAAGCGATTAAACACAAATAATCAGCATTGTTCTCAACTGACCAAGATGTTGGGGAGGGAAAGATAAGATAGTAAAGTCATGCTCATTCTGAGTCTTAATACTCTAAATATTATGGTCCTGTGATTTTTCGATAAAATCGGAAGGTGCAATAATTATAGAATTATTACCGCCCTTGTAATTTTAACTTGTGAGCAAAGCGGTTTTCTCCAGGTACACAAACTGCAGCCTTGGAGAAGTTAATAAAAGGAAAAGCCCTCCCTCCCCTCCGGGCGTAACTTTTGGGCGCCCAGCGTCTGGTTCCTGGGAGAGGAGGAAGGGGCGGAACCGGTGGTGGTACGCATGCGCGGCCGCCCTTGGCTTGGGGCATGGCCGCTCTAGGCAGCGGGGAGGTCGCGGGGTTGAGGGGGTTAGGAAACGAAATGGTATCTCCTCTATGGTAGCGGGTTGGGGGCAACGTCCGGCGCCGTCGGCCCGCCGGTACTTCCGGGAATGAGCCTGTACCTCCTACTCTGCTTCCGCGGAGTGTGGACGGCGGGCGACCCTGGGACTAGTTGAGTGGTAAGCAGGGTGGTCAAGGGGCGGCCCAGGGTCGGTTTCAGGGAGGGACGGACTGGGGATGCCTTTGGCCGAGGAGCTCCTTTGGGGTAGGGAAGCGCACGGGCTGTCTGCAGCCAGGTTTGGTTCGGGCAGTGGCTTTCTCGGCTGAGGGGCGTGTTCCAGCTTCGCCCACGAAAAGCGGGTCTGGAGTATCGCTGGTCTGGCACGTGCCATAGGCGCTCGTTGTCGGGGGACCCAAGGGCGGGGTCCATTCACTGTCGCAGCTCTCTGTGCCCCTGAGAGAGCGTACAGCAATTGAAAACGAGCCACCATAGGCGCTATTTTCCGTCGTGTGAGCTGGTGACAGCACATCCCTGCTCGAGAGCCCAGTGTACACATTGGTTCCTGGACCTCGCCTCGTCCCTTTTGGGTCAGCGTCAGAACCAAGTGCTAGGGGCTCCTCAGGGCCGAGGTGTGGGAGCCCGGGATGCCCACCCATCGACAGCCCCTCCTCCGCCTAGAATGGGTTTGGATGCCCCACATGCGCCTGGCGGAGCTTAGGTCTAATTTCCGAGGCACATTTCTTTCCCAAGGCAAGTTGCTGTCCTTGTTTTAAAAGGGGTTGGAGGGGGGCGGGGTGTTGCTGAAAGGGGAAAGTGAAACTAAGAGTGACACTGCTGTTACCCGACTCTTCCTATTCTGAGCTGGGGCGCAGAAATTTCAACTGGGTCAAAAAGAAAGTTGTTTTGAAATAGGAGAAGTCAAGTGAGCTTTAGACTGGCAAACTGGGGGTGTGTCTTTGATCCTGTCAGTGCTGCAAGCCACAGCCTGGCAACTTCCTAAGAGAAGAAAAATGCACGCAGATCCTGCATTGCCCTGAGCTGTTGTGCTTGGGTCCACCCACCAAAGCCCACTGGCCGTCCTTTGGAGGTGGTCTTGATGTGACTCCCAGAAATACAAATAGGAAAGAACGTTTGTTTCATTCCTGAACCTGCAGAATGCACATGCTTCTGGGGTGGTTTTGTTTGTACTGCTGTGTTGCCAAGCGTGTATCCCGACCAGTTTGGTCCTGTGCATCTCCATCAACTTGATGGGAAAACTCCGGTTCTCTTGGACGCTTCTCGGACTCTGGCATTATACACAGCTGGTACTCAATAAATCCACTACTAATCAACTGTGAAGGAGCCGGGATGGCAAACCTGAAGATCTGCAGTGGGAAACCACCAGCCACTCTGCAGGAGAAAAGTTACAGTGTCAGAAGCTCCTAGGACCAATTGTACTCTTTTATATGGTCTGAGTTGGCATTGCATTTGGTGTTTGTTTGTTTGTTTTAAATCAACTCTTGGGTACAGCAACAGAGCCTTTTAAAAACAAATCTACGAATAAGCACTCCACTACTGGAAAGTTAAGTGATTCAGACCACCAGCCGATCTGGGGACAGTTGTCTTCTTCAGATTGACAGCCTTGGAAACCTTATGGGTACAGTCCTATCCTGTCTCATAGAGTCTGTGACTCAGAATAACGCAGAAGCTATGGGTTTGACAGATGACATTTGTCATATAAACAGCCCATCAGCCCTTCCAAGTAAACGTTATCCTGAACTTATAAATAGAAAATAGGCTCCTGTAAGATATAGGGTGACAGTGTGGGACTCAGCTCTAATACTACTTTTATCTTTTCTGGGAAATTACAGTCTAGAGATAAGAAAACACACATAAATGTTACTCCAGTATAATGGCAGGAAAGCTTACTTTGGGGTATGTGTGGAGTGTGGGAGTTAGGGAATCCTTTCAAGTGACAGTTGAGTTGGATTTTGTATGCTTTGGACCTAGAAGTTGTGGATGTATTCTACAGGTGGAGGGAACAGGATGGTGTTATGGAAAAATGTCCAAGGACAGGAATTAGTAGGTAAGACTAGAGTATAGTTGTATGAATAGCAAGCAGCAGGGATAATAAACATAATAATTTCAAGAGAGCTATTATATTGGTCAAATCTGTTGCAAAAGATCTCTTCATACTATTAAAAAGCAGAATCCTCACATTGAAGACTAAGGTGCACCTGACCTAAGCCTTGGTATCTTAATCACGTCATATGCTTGTGAAAGCTGCCTGGTAAATAAGGAAACTCAAAGAAGAAGTCATGTCTTTGAATTAATGGGTGACGATGAATATACAGTGAACTGGCAGAAGAACAAGTCTGTCTTGGAAAAAGTGCAGCCAAATGCTTAGAAGTGAGGATGACAGACTTCACCTCATGCACTTTAGATACAGTATCAGAAGGGACCAGTCTCTATTGAAGGGCATTGTGTGTGATACAATAGAGGGTTTTTGAAAAGGAGGAAAACCCACAAGGAGATGGATTAGCACAGTGGCTGCAACAGTGGGCTCAAACAATAATTGAGAGCGTGGTGTGTAAGACCCAGCAGTGTTTCTTTTATTCCTGGGTTGCTATGAGTTGGAATTGACTCAGCACCTAACAGCAAGATAGAACAATATGTGTAAGGCACTATTCTGAATGCTATGCATATTATTCATTGAATCATTTCAAGAACCCTGTCAGGTAAGTACTATTAATATCGCCCATTTTATGGAGGCAGAAACTGAGGCACACAGGTTAAGTGATTTAACTGAGGTCACTCAACTAATAATTGTTGGAGGTGGGACCCATGCCTTCTGGATATAGGATTTGGGCTGTACATTAAAGTTACATTGATTGCTAGTGATCCATAAAGTTACATTGATTACAAGTTTATGCGTATGAACTTTATTTTCTCATAGTGTGGAAGATTTAAAACAACTTTTTTCTTTTTACTTTGGAATTCACACCTTGGGGGAGTCCAGTTCCTTCCCAAATGTCAAGATTCAGAATAACCCCAGAATGCAATACAATTCGACCTCTAGCATGCAGACAGAATTGTCGTTCTGTTAAGTCTTGAAATCTGAGAACGTTTTTGTTGAGTAGTCAGGTAGCGAAAGTTAGCTTTTTATCCACTTGTAAATCAGGTGAGCCAAAGCAGTCTTCACTGTCTTAATGCTTCTCAGTTAACCTGGACACCCCTTCCAGGAGACATCTGCCTCCAACATGCTTGCTTCTGAGAATTACAGAAAATCATTACTATCCCAAAGAGACTGAAATGAAGAGCAGAAAAAGCAACCAAGGTTAACTTGAAGACAAGAAAGGAAAACATGAGTTAGGCTAACAACAGTAAGCGAGGTAGACGATGTTTTTATTGTTATCTAAATGCCTGAAGTCTTGCTTAGTTCCAGGTAACTAGCTTTTGATTACTAGGCTCCATTGATTGGAGAAGCAAAGAGACTTTATTGAAACAGCATTAGTAAAAAGTGTAAGAAAGCTGAGCCTGAAAGTTAAATTTATAATATGTGAGTTGTACAATATTTCTAAAAGAGGGCAATAAGTATGGGTTCCTGGTAACCAGTGGTGGCATTTTTATACCACTCTGTGATACTGAAGACCTGCGGGGTCTTTTACATGTCTTTGCATTGGTGCCATGGGACAAAAGCAAAAGAGTACATGTGCTAGAGAGAGCCCGCATGCCCTTTTGCTCTTACTGTCATATTGCCCAACACCGGTCACAGGCTTCCAATCAGAGGGCTTCCAACATCCAGGGAACAAATTAACATTTAAGTAAGCTACCTCCCTCCCTTTGCCCTAGTACTTTCTGACCCCATCCAGGAAGAGAACCTTTTTTACTTGAAGTTGGAAAAATAACAGCAACTGGAAATGCTGCTAGTAGAAGCATTTGGTAATATGTTAGAAGAGTCAGTTTTCTCCTTTGTAGGAGTGCATATAATATTGGTGTTAATGACATTTCTGATCCTTTCCATACTTAGATTGAGGCACATTTTGTTTCGCTATCACTAGAAAAGGGGAGTCACTCTTGCGACTTGTAATAATACCTATAGGGTCCTGCCAGAGTTTTGAATAGTGTTCACCACTCACCTTTACCCTTATTTCTGTTGTAAATGTTTCTGCCTACATCCCTTACACTATTCATGGTCAGTCACCAGCTGGAGTTCCTGTTTCAGAATGCATGCTTGTGAAATTCTAGTGTACATTTCTCAACAGTCCAGTAACAGCTGTTAGTGTAGCCTAGATGGTTAAGGGATAAGTCAATCCTTTGAACTAATAATTACCTTATTAAGGTCATGTGTTAGGAGGAGAGGCTTGTAGTCAAGCCATATTCTAGGACCTGGCTCCATCCTTTATTAATTGGCTATTTTCTCATCTCTGAATTAGAGATGATAACACTTAATAGGACTGTTGTGTCCTACCCGTTAGGGATCAGCAAGCATGGTTTTTGTTAGGTGCCACTCATAGTGACCCAGCGTACAACAGAACGAAACACCACCCAGTCCTTGCACCTTCCTCACAATGGTTTTTATGTTTGAGCCATTGTTTCAGCCACTGTGTCCATCCTCTCTTTCACTGCCACCCTTTACCAAGCATGATGTCCTTCTCAAGCAAGGGACTGCGCTTTCCTGACAACATGTCCAAAGTATGTGCGACAAAGGCTTTCCATCTTTTGTCTCTAAGGAGCATTCTGGTCCCTTAGGGGGGTGAGACACAGAGTCTCCCAATTGGGATAGTGGCTTCATATGTACTATGATAGAGTCAAGTACTAACTGTAGATTCTTTCACAGTACTAAGATTGAAGAAGGTGGGGCACTGCTGTTAGCAGTTTGCTTCTTTAGTCAGTTCATGAACACATAAGTAAGTCAATAAAATAATTTTTTGTAAGCTTATCCAAGGATGCCTTCATCCTGCACTTATGAGCTGTCTTGCCTTAGCTTACCAAGATCGGTGAGAGAAAACTTGCCTGCTGGCCTTGTGTTGTCACTGTGAGATGGTGACTACCATTGTTGAGGCTGTTGTAGGACCTGCAGGATTGATGCTCATGAAGGTAATCCTGCATTGCTGGGGAAGAAATCAGGTTCATCATAACAAAAAAACACTGTCGAGTTGGTTCCAACCCATCAAAACTTTTTTTTCTGCCGTCAAG